AACAGATTCACAGAGGTTGCGCCAACAGAGGGAGGTGGAGCTGGAGCCCAATTCCTACAGCTACAGTCACGGCAGCAGCGCGTGCGACAAAGAAGGACGAGCCCAATGCCATCGCCTTCGGACCAGCAATGTGGGCATGTTGGAGGCGAAGTCGCAGCCCGACGTCGCCAGCGCAGATTCACGGAAGATGTGTGATAAGTGGGCGGCGAAGCTGGAGCCCGTCTCCTACAGCTACAGCCTTAGGAGCAGCGGGTGCGAGAATGAAGGACGAGCCCAATGCCATCAACTATTACGCTGGCATCAGGGCACTTTGAAGGCGAAGTCGAAGCCCGACGTCGCCTGTACAGTTTTCCAGAGAACGTTGGAAGCATGCGGAAAAGTGGGAGGCGAAGCTGGAGCCCAAGATCTACAGCTACTGCCTTAGAAGCAGCGCGTGCGTCAAAGAAGGTCGAGCCCAATGCCATCACCTACTTCGTAGGCATCAGGGCATTTCGGAGGCGAAGTCGCAGCCCGACGGCGCTTTCACAAGTCCCCAGAGAAAATTGAACGCATGCGAGCAGTGGGAGGCGTAGCTTGGGCCCGTTATCTGCAGCTACATCCCTAGAAACAGCGTGTGCGAGAAAGAAGGGCAGTGGCCGCCGTCGATGCCATACCCCGAGTGAGCACAAGTGGCATGTTTGGCGCTCGAGCCGTCCCAGGAGCGGAGTCGAACGCATCTCATATCAAAGCGATGGTCCTCCTCCTCATCCTCATCCTCCTCCCTCTTCCTCCTCCTCCTCCTCTTCCTCCTCCTCCCTCTTCCTCCTTCTCCTTCTCCTCCTCCTCCCCTCCTCCTCCTCCTCCTCCTCCTCCTCTCAGCTCCTCCTCCTCCTCCTCCTCCTCCCCTCCCCCTCCTCCTCCTCCTCCTCCTCCTCCTCCTCCTCCTCCTCCTCCTCCTCCTCCTCCTCCGCCTCCGCCTCCTCCTCCCGCTTCCTCCTCCTCCTCCTTCCTCCTCTTTTCGCTCCTCCTCCTCCTCCTCCTCCTCCTCCTCCTCCTCCTCCTCCTCCCCCTGCCCCTCCCCCTCCCTCTCGGCCTCAGGACGCCAAGGTGGCGGTGGCCTGGGGGCCCGACGGGGGCGGTTGTGCTTTCCCAAGGGGGGGCGGTGGCTTCCGAAGCTACCCCCCACTCCTTCTGTTGGATTTTCCAGCTGGAGGAACCTGGCTGAAGGGGGGGGTGAGTCGAAGCTACTTTTCTTTTTGGCTTTCTCGGCGCCCCGTTGATTTTCGACGTGCTTGGGGTTTTCGGCGTCTTTTTTGGTTTTCGGCGCCTCGCTGGTTTTCGGAGCCAGTGACGGGGCGGTCACGCCGCCATACCAGTGGGCCCCACGACTCGGAGAGGTCCAATAATCATACGGGGGGGACCCTTGCTCACGTCCCCCTCCCTCCTCCCCCCCCTTGCTCCCCCATCCCTCATCCCCCGTCACTCGTGCTCTCATGTCCATCCCCCTTCCCCGCGACGACCTCCCGACAACCGAAAACGCAAACAAACACATGTCAACAAAAACCAGCGTCGGGCCTGCGAGGGACCTGGACACTGGGCCATGGCGCACGGATCCGCTCCGAGGAGATCCGGCGCTCGCACGCTCCTCCTCCTCCTCCTCCTCCTCCTCCTCCTCCTCCGCCTCCTCCTCCTCCTCCTCCGCCTCCTCCTCCTCCGCCTTCTTCTCCTCCTCCTCCTCCGCCTCCTCCTCCTCCTCCGCCTCCTCCTCCTGCACCCTCTGCCTCCTCCTGCTCTCATCCTCCTCCTCCTCCTCCTCCTCCTCCTCCGCCTCCTCCCCCTCCGCCTGCTCCCCTCCTCCCTCCTCCTCCTCCTCCTCCTCCTAAGCCTCTGCCTCCTCCAGATCTCCTCCTTCTCCTCCTCCTTCCTCCTCCTCCTCCTCCTCCTCCCCCTCCGCCTTCCTCCTTCCTCCTCCTCCCCACATCCTCCTCCTCCTCCTCCTCCTCCTCCTCCTCCTCCTCATCCTCCTCCTCCTCCTCCTTCACCTCCTCCGTCTCCTGCTCCTGCTCCTGCGCTCCTCCTCCTCCTCCTGCCTCTCCTCCTCCTGCCTCCTCCCCTCCTCCTCCTCCTGCTCCTCCCCTCCTCCTCCTCCTCTTCCTCCGTAGCCTCCTCCTCCTCCTCCGTAGCCTCCTCCCCGCCTCCTCCGCTCCCACCTCCCCTCCTCCTCCTCTCCTCCTCCTCCTCTCCTCTCCTTCTCCTCCTCACTCCTACCTCCTCCTCCTCCTGCCTCATCCCCTCCTCCGCTTTCCTCCTGCGCCCTCCGCCTCCATCTTCTTCTGCCTCCTCCTTCTCCTCCGCATCCCTCCTCCTCCTCCTCCTCCTCCTCCACCTCCTCCTCCTCCTTCTCTTCCCGTCTCCTTCTCTCTCCTTCTCCTCCACCTCCCTCCTCCAAGTCCTCCTGCTGCTGTACTCCCCTCCCCTCTCCTCCTCCGCCTCACCTCCTCCTCCGCCTCCTCCTCCTCCTTCAACTCAGCGCCTCCTGCCCTCCTCCACTCCTTCGTACCTCCCTCCTCCTCCTCCTCCTCCTCCTCCTCCTCCTCCTACTCCTCCTCCTCCTCCTCCTCTCCGCCCTCCGGCCTCATCCTCCCCCTTCTCCTCCTCTTTCCTCCTCCTCCTCCTCCCTTCCTCCTTCTCCTCCTCCCCCTCCTTCCTCCTCCTCCTTCTCCTCCACCTCCTCCTCCTCAATCTCCTCCTCCTCCTGCTCCTCCCCCTTCTCCGCTCCCACCTCATTCCTCCTCATTCTCCTCCTCCTCCTCCTCCTCCTCCTCCACATCCTCTCCATAATATTCCCGCATGATCTCCACCCCGCCCTTCGCCCTTCCATTTGGTGTTTCTCCCACCTTACCGTTCCAACTCCGTCATCTGCACGAGAGTGGCAGCGGTTCCACCAGAGAGACGTGCCACATGCGGAGCCGACAAACCACGCTTTAGCCTGCTGGCATGTTTCTGGATGGAGTCTCCAGCAGGAGCAACCTTGCGGTCGATGCATGCTCCAAACAAACATGCAGCTTGGGCCTGGATAGAGTCAAACAGGATCAGAGGGGACGGTCTGTGCGAGCATCGAAGTGCTGAGTTGCTGATCGCCCTCCGACGACCTCCCCCGGGTGTTGGTTTTCCACCCAGCAACCCTGCAGGACCAAGAAACATAGGCGCCACCACCATCGAGAGGAGCCAGGGAGGGTCCTCCTGGCGATGTGGTCCCTCTGGTTTGCGGCGTCCCGCTCGAGACGTATCCAATCTCGAGCCCCAGGGGGCATCGTGGATCTCTTCGCCGGAGGTGAACCGCTGATGATTGTGCTGGCGTCGCTTCTCCTCCGTCCGACCGGTGGCCCTGTTGAGCCCGCCGCTGAGACTGCCTCTGGCGGCAATTGGTGTGCCACACTGCCAGTTGGTTGGCTAGTCGATCGCTTACATACCCTACCATGGGTAGCCGGCGTGGCTCAATATTGAAGAGTCGTTAGAGGGCCGAAGTGTCAACCCGACGCTGACAAGACTGCATCGACGCGCGTTTCATGGTCAAGCCTGGGTGTCTGAACTTGACTTGGCGGCGAGCGAGGGGTGTAAATGAGAATGAGAAGGCCTTTTCAGAAGGCGGAGGCGGCGGGACTTCTCAGAAGCCCTCGCGCCTTCTAAGAAGTCATTTGTCTTCGGAGAAAACTTCGGAAACTTCTCAGAACCCCGGGGGACTTCCGAACCTTCTGAGAAGCCCTTCTCGTTCTTACTTCCCCCCCTCGCTCGCCGCCGATTGACAGCGGGCTGGGCCGTCCAAGGTCCTCCCGCCTCTTGTGCAAGGTGCCGAGGATCGCTGCCCTGTTCAGCAGGATGATCGGGATCCACCAAAGGGTGGGTGGGGTGACCCTGAGGGGGGGTATGAGTTCGATCCGCTGGTGCACCGAACTGCCGCAAACAGATGCCCCCCCCACATGCCCTATCGGCAACTATCGGGAGTGGCCAGCGGCTGGGGTTAAGTCGGGCCTGTCCCCCTACAGCCGGCTTCTGGGCGAAAAACCAAAGAGACCCCAAACATATTCAAACATATGAGAAAAAGAACAAAAATAGTCACCAGACAATTTTTAGACTATCTTTGACGAATCCTCCTGTAGAGGGACAGGCCCGACTTAAGGCTGGGGGCATCTGTGTTGGCCGGCTCGGTGCAAAAACCGATCGAACTCTCTCACCCACACACACATACACACACACGCACACACACACAAACACGCACACACACACACACACACACACGCACACACACACACGCACACACGCACACACACGCACACACACACACACACACACACACACACACACACACACACACACGCACACACCCTGGGGGCACGCCCCCCCCTTTGCGGGGTCCCGAGCTGAGCGGCGCTTTCTGGCGCTTGTAAGGCATCAGGGCGGCGACGAGCCCAGGGAGCGTCTGGCTCTTGAGCGCGAGCATCGCCTTGGAAGGACCCGGGGCCTCCGCCGGTGCTGTTTCTGACGTGTGGGCCCCAGCTTTTTGTTAATTCTCCCTTGCCATCGCTCGGACGTCCATTCCCTGGGCCTTTTCGTCGGTGTCGCGTGTGCTTTCTGGTTATTCTTCTTTTCTTGCGAGGTGATCCAGGATGCTCCCCGGTGGCCCTCGCCGAGGAAAGATGCACACGTCCGAACGTTGCCAAGCTGTGGGGGAACACGCAAGAATGTCTGGGGGGGCGTTCCTGCTTTCTGGGCCCCGGGGCCGTCCACAGCAGAAAGGAGCGAGAAGCATGCCCCCGGGAAGGGATCGAGAGCTTTGGGGCCCACGGGTCGAAGAGACCCGACGCCGGAGGCCAGCATAAACGAATCAGGTGCAGACACACGCCCCTGCGCGCGCATTCCTCCTCCCCCCCCCCGCGCTCCCCCTCCGAGGGGGAGGGGGAGTGGGAGGGGGAGGACGGGCGGCAGGACAACGAGCACGTCTGCTTCAGCCCCAGGGTGACCGGCACGCTCTTCGTGATCACATCCACGATCACGTCCCGGAACTGCACGACATGGAACCGGAGCGTCGGGTTCGAGAAGGTCCTGGCGAGGCGGAGGGCCTGCTCGCCATCCTCCTCGAAGGCGTCCACCACCGCGGCCCGGAAGTCCACGCATCTGCGCAGCAAGGTGCTGTACCCGATCTCGCACGGGGTGTACTTCTTCCTGACAAGGAACCCTGGGACACACAAATAAATACACACAAGTCCCAGGATCCCCCATAGTTTCCTGTATTTTCTGGGTTTTCGTCTTCCCCCCCAATGTCAATTTTTTCCCCATAGTTTCCTGGGAGCCGACGATTACCTGTGTCTGTGTGTTTTTGCTTCTCCTCCTGGTTCCTGCCATCCTTCCAGCCCAGGCCCAGGTCGTTGTGGCTGCCGGTCTCCTGCAGCACGGAGTCCTGCAGCTCGATGAAGCGCTTGAGGGACCGAATGGTCAGCTCCTCGCTCATCCTCGGGCGCGGCCAAGCCCTCGCCAGCGCTCGGACGTCCGCTCCCCGTGCATCTTTCGTTGGATGCCATGGCAGTGGGCACTCTAGCAACCCTATCCTTGAATTATAGATGTGTGTTAACATGTGCAAAACATGTTCTGACAATGGTCCAATCATGTTTTTACATGCTTAAAACATGTTTGAAACATCTGGAACCTATCTTTGGCAGCATGCTTCCTCTCCATTAATCGACTTCCACAAAACTTTCGGTCTCGGGCGTATTGTTCGGAGGACGGCCTCCACTGCTCCCCGATGCTCCCCGCCGAGAAAAAGTTAGAGTGCAGACGTCCGAGCGATGCCAAGAGAGACTGGGTTGAGCACAGGCCGCCACCCTGGGTAGGCCTGGCTGGCCTTGTGGATGCCACGGCAATGGACACCCTGACAGTCCTATCATTGGCATTAACATGTTTACAATTTAGGGAAAATGTTATAAACATGTTTTAAACATGTTTTTACATGTTTAAAACATGTTTACAGATGTTCTAGACATCTGGAAATTATTCGGCAACACGCTTCCTCTCCATTGATCGTCCTCCACAAGGCTGGCCTCAGGATGCCCCCTCCCGGAATAGCTCCAGACGGCCTCAACAGCACGGCGTCGCCACCAGCATTGTGGATGCCATGACAATGGACACTCTAGCAATCCGATCATTGGATTGAATTCGTGTTGGAACTGTGTAAAACATGTTCTAAACATGTTTTAAGCATGTTATTTACAACGATAACACATATTTGAAACACCGTTTAGACCTCTGGAAAGTACTTGGCAGCACGCTTTCTCTCCATTCATCGACCTCTGGGGGGACTGCCTCTCGGGAGCTGACCGTGCGCAGCCCTGCACCTCGCCGGCGACAACTCCCCCCCCCGCCCTCTCTGGTGAGCAGACGGCAACGACGCGCTGCACCCAGGCCTACGATGTCGTGATGTCTTCGAGTCGCTGCCCCCTGGACCTCTCGACCCAGTCCAGGGCACAAGCTCTTCCAACCCAGGTCGTGCTCTGACGGCCCCAGGGCCGACGAGCCGTCTCCAGAAGCCGTACACGTAGGTGGACGGTTTCTTCTTCGGCGTTTCGACATTGGGCGGAAGGGGCGGCGGAAGGGGCGGGGGGAGGGGGGGTCTGGCTCCGGACCTCTGCTTAACGCTACTGTTTTGCAGCAGTGCAGCCCATGGGGGGGACTCCACCTGCTTGAAACAGGAACCAAAAACAGCCAAGATCTACTCCACGAGGGAGGGGGGAGGGGGGGTGCGAGGGCCCGCGCCGACCGGCAAAACAGCGAAGAAGAAAACGATCACCAGGGCCGAGAAGCCGCCTCCAGAAGCCGAACACACAGGAGCCCCATGCGTCTCGATGTCTGCGTCGTGACGCCTGGGGGGCCTCTGGGCCGAAGAGGAGGAGGAGGAGGAGGAGGAGGAGGAGGAGGAGGAGGGGGAGGAGGAGGAGGAGGAGGAGGAGGAGGAGGAGGAGGAGGACGAGGACGAGGAGGAGAGAGGAGGAGGAGGAGGAGGAGGAGGAATTCCGAGGCAGGGTACAGGCCGTCCCCGACATCCTGGCCCTGCTCCTGCCGTCGGGGCAGAGAGCCACGCCGCCCATCTCGGCCAGGGCGAGGCAGAGCGTCCTGGGAGAGTCCGTCGTGGCCAGGGCATGCTCCAGCGCCACAACCGCGGCGTCCTCCGCGGGGACCTGCAGCACCTGCGAGACCACCACAGCGGAGGCCTCCTGGATGGGGTCGGGGCAGGTGGGGCCGGAGGATCGCGCCGCCTCGGCGATGCATCGGCGACGTCGGCGAGGCATCGGCGACGCCGGCGTGGAGAACATCGGGCTCCACATCGCGCCGCATCGGCGATGCATCGTCGATGCGGCGCGATCCTCCAACCTCGTCTACGCGGACCCCATCCAGGAGGCCTAGACACAAGGACTCCGCCCTTCGCTCGCCCCCCCCGCCCCAGGCGGGCGGGCCGAGCGCTGCCAGAGGCGACCCTCGCCAGAGGCGGCATCCTCGTTCGGCGGCGGGCGGGGGAGGGGAAGTGAGAAGGGGAAGGCCCTCTCAGAAGGTTCGGAAGACACCTGGCCTTCTGAGAAGCTTCCGAAGTCTTCCACGAGGTCACAAGGAAAAACCTCTCAGAAGGCGCAAGAGGTTCAGAGAAGTGCCGCCACCCTCTGGGAGGGCCTCCTCCTTCTCACTTCCTCCACATCGCTCGCCGCCGACTCATCGTCATCGTCGTCGCCGATGTCGTCGCCATGTCATCACTCGCCTGCCTCGATCTGCCCCGGGGCGGCCCCGCGGGCCTCTGGAGCAACCCAAGCGCGGGGCCGAGAGCGCCGTCGTGGGGTGCACGGCGGCCCGAGAAGCTGGGGGCACCCCGGGCCAGGACCGCCCCTCTGGCAACCAGCCAAGCGCGCTCCACTACTCGCGGAAGCACCTACTCGCAAATGGCCTAGATCCGCCGCGTGGGACTTACGCTGCATCAGATAGAGGAAGACAATGTTTCGGACGTTTGCGAGCAGACACTCTGCGAGTAGCGGAACGCCCTCGATGAGCCACCTCCAAGGGAAGACGGGGGGAGGGGAGGGAGGGAGGACGGACTCCCCCCAGCACCAGCGGAGGCTCGGGAGTGGCCTCCATGACCCTCTCCATCCAAGGTGGCGGTGGCGGCTCCCTCACGGAGGCCTCCCCGGTGGGGCTGGAGCAGATGCGGCCGGAAGACCGCACCGCATCGCCGACGCGTCTGCGACGCCCAGGCAGAGAGAACAGGTCGGCAAAACGCAAGAGTGTCCCTAGGCAAGAGTGGCCTTCGGTGCGCGACTTAACTCTGGCTGGCCCCCAAAAGGGGTCCAGCTAAAATGAGGTGGTGCTATATATATATATATGTGTGTGTGTACATGTGTATGTATGAATATATATATACATATATATATATATATAAATATATATATATATATGTGTGTGTATGGGGCAATCGTACTGCACATGCTTTGCGCCATAGAGCTGTAGTGCATCGTGTTGCATCGAACGCATTGCACGCAAGAGTCCAGCAATCCATTTGCACCTGAACCTATTGCACGCCCCAAATCTTGTGTAACACCAGAAATCTATTTCACCAATACGGAAATATACACATATATATACACATATACATTATAGGTGTATACATACACATCTCTCGATACATATATATATATATATATGTATGATGTATGTATATGTATGTACATCTATGTATATATCACCACCTCCTTTTCGCTGGACACTCTTCTGGGCAAGCCAGCTTAACCGGGGACGCGGGGTGGGCAAATCCCCGGCGCGCAAGCCGCTGCTACCGCTTCGCGTTCAGCGATCAGGGGACCCCTCTGGGCCCGCACCAGAGATCACTCTCGCGACAGGTCACTGGCACTGGGGAAACCAAAAGGTATCAATACCGCTACTACCTGGACCTCTCTCGGAGGGCGTTCTGACCAGAATTTCGAGGCGACTCCGGCGGTGGCGACGAGGGCCTCCCAGGAGGGCGCAAAAGGGGGAAACGGGCGAAGGGTAGCGGTGTGGGTACCATGCCTCTTCTGCCTTATACGTCTCGCCGAACAGGGCCCGAGATCGCGCCGCAGCGCCGACGAGCAGGCGACGCGGCGCGGACCCGCCGACCCCCCACCCGCTCCGGCACCGCTCTGAGGGAGGCCCGAGCCTCAGCCGCCCCAGCGGCCGCACGGCCTGCCGCCGCGAGGCGGGCTCCTGGTGCCGCCGCCGCCGCCGCCGCGCCCGCGCCGAGGCCGCGGCGAGGGCGCCGCCGCAGGCCGCGGCGGCCGCGGCGGCGCCGCCGCAAAAGGCCGCGGCATCGGCGGCAGGCTCCGCGGCGCAGCGGGGCCGCGCCCGCGCGTGCAGCCGGGGCGGCTGCCACCGGCACGGCCGCGGCGGGCGCGGCGGGCACGAGCCTCCGTCGGCCGTCAGCGCGCGGCCCGCGGCCCCCGCGGCCGCCGCCATGGCGGGGGCCCGCTCGCCCTCGGCGGCCTCGGGTCGAGCGGCCCTGTGAGCCAGGATGGCGGCAGGGGGAGCACGAGGAGGAGGAGGAGGAGGAGGAGGAGGAGGAGGAGGAGGAGGAGGAGGAGGAGGAGGAGGAGGAGGATAGGGGTAGCAAGAAAATCCCTCGGCGAGCGGCGGGTCTGGTGGCTGGCTACCTGACTGTCGCTGGGCGGCATGCCTGCGTGGCTGCTCAAGCGCTATATCGCCGGCAGATGTGGGGGCACCGCTCAGACCTCAGGTGCCTCGAAGTCTCCCGAGAGGGAGTTCAGGGTACTGAGGAGAAGGCGGAGGAAGAGGATGGAATGGGATGGGGGAGGAGGGGGAGGAGGAGATGGGGCGGCAGCAGCAGGCAGAGGAGCCATCAGCGGGACAAGAAGGACGAGCATGCGCGGAAGAGGGGCAGGGGCAGGAGCGCGGGCTAGCTCGACGGCGCGCCCGGTTTCTTTCCGAGGAAGAGGAGGAAAAGGAGGAGGAGGAGGAGGAGGAGGAGGAGGGCACGAGTAAACCCGAGACGCGTCAGCGATGCTGCAATACACCATCCCGTCCCACCCACCCCCCTCATACCTCACTGCAGGCCTTCCATCTCGCTGGAAGAAACCTTTGAACGACCAGCGCAATAGGCCCTGCCCTTTTGACGAGG